GTTCACATTTCCCTGTTTTAACCGACGTTCTAATTAAGTGCTGTTATGAGTGTCCTTCTTTTTCTTTTATAACTGATATTTATATACGTTTTATTCACCAACGTCTCAAGTGAGGCTCGAACTGTTCAGAACCAAAGGAAGAAGAATATCGATCCAAACCTTATTTATTATTTAATTATCACCTTACTGTTACAACTATGTTTTGCTATTGATGACTTCTACAGCTTCGCGATTTAGAGAATGGAGAATTTTAGTAGATCCGTACGATGACTCCGATAACGATATCCGATACTTCGCCGCCGTCTTTGCGTATGCATCATATCGTTATCGGGTACCGTTATCGTGGGTATGGGAGGTATCGGAAGGATCTACTAACTGCAACGACGAAGCTTTGCTCTACATTCTCGAGGGAAATAGTACTTCCCTTGCTTCGCTGAAAAAGCTCAATGCAGAGCATGAAGCATTCGTGAGGAACAATGTGACACTCCCATCCAGTGCCTCAGCTCAAATTGTGTTCAGCGTAGCAGTCGACATATTGAGTAAGAGATAATGCAAAATGTCTGACGAGACATACAAGAGCCAGCCGTTGCTCAAAATACTCAAGGTCATTAAAAGGAACAGGTGGCTAGAATAAGAACTTGAATAACCCTCTTCCCTTTGTTTCTTACTTGAGGACGATAATTTTAAAAGTAACGCCACGAAAGTAACAGATTACTTTTTCGGGTAACGGTCAGTTACTTCCATGGGAGGGTAATTGTAATTGTAATAAATTACAATTTAGCCTTGAGTAATTGTAAATGTAATTCCTTACTATTTTTCAGTAACGTGTACAAGTCTGCTCTGGAGCACGCGACGCTAACGCACGGTGCTCGCGTTCGCTCGTATACGCAATACTTAAAGCTCACTATCATGACAGAAGTACCTGCACGCCCCGAGCTTGTTCGAAGAACGTTTGCTTCATACATATGAATGTTACGAACCTTACGAACATATCTGCATTGTATTGTATTGTTTTGTATTCTGCGGAGCAGTCTCTTTGAAACGGGAGTCTAAGTTGGGCACGCCAGAAAAGTTAGTTTTAAGAAGTTTTTTTTATGTCCAAGGTGACAGGATTGCGTCATACGAGGAAGAAACACGTCTCAGACAGTGTCGTTCGCAGACTGAGTCCATTGACTTATGTTCACGCTTCTTACTTCGTGATTCGTTCTTCGAAGTTCTTATCGGCGACGAATGCCGGGAATCCAGACCTAGTCAAGCTGTTTCTAAGAACTTTTTGTCTGGTAGTTTCTCCGCAATTTCTAGAAAATAAAGCTTGATCGATTGATCTCATTAGCTAAGAAACGATAATGAAATGATCGTAACACGCCGCGCGCTGCGCTTTTTTTAAGCTGTCAGCGAGTATCGGGTATTTGCCAGAACATTATGGAACATGGGAGCATGCGAGAATGTTTCAGCGAGCTGATAAATTGAGAGAGATGTTGAGACGAGAGCGCGTGGGGACGTCCGAACGCCGAGCTCTCATTGGAATGATTCTAGTGGGTAGCCGTAAAGTTAGCTGCCTTTGTCTTCACTGCACTCGTCAAACGCATTAGAATGTGGAACGCCGGCGTCGGGCGTTTGGCTTTTGCTTTCGGATGTGTATGACAAGCGCAGTGGAGACAAAGAGAACCTTTGTCCCACTGCAACCTAAAAAAAAGAAATCCGTTTATGAAAGACTTTTTGACGCCCAAAGAGCTCTTTCAGCTCGTGATGAACGGGTTCTACAAATCGCATATCATTAGCTGCGCCGAAATGAAACTATCACGAGCGTAGAAAGCCTAAAGGCTGCTTTTCGGTACGAAAATTTGAAAATATAGCTGACTATTTCGTACCTCCTTTCCTTCGAAAGTTCTCGGCCTTTTCACTCCGATGCACCCGTGGTGTCCAAGCACGTCAGCCGAACCCAGCTCACGTGTTGGACACGAGCAGTGCGTAACTTGGACGTATGCGCTCGTCAACAATCAAACCGTCGACGAATATTTAAATTCGCGTTCGCGGCCAATGAGTGCCGTGATGGCACTTATTATTACTTGAAAATCTGAAGTTCTATTAGTGCTTAAAAAGAACGGTGGAAGGTTGGAGTCACCGCCTCTGGTGCCAAAAACACGTCACGACCACGTGACTTCTAATTTTGCTTTTGAGTCGAGTGTCAAAACTGAGAAGGTAGAAGTTGAAAAATTATTTCATGGCTCCTTTAAAAGGGAGAGTAAACGGAAAGCGAGGCGACACCTGCTGGATACAATATAATAACCTTGATTTTCTCATTAAATTAGTGAAGGAGAGGTTGGGAGAAAAACAACTGCAAAAGAGCTTGACGGGAGTCCCAGTCCGTCAAAGGCCGTAGTGCTGGATTTTGTACGTCACTACCAGGGGCCAGCGAGCGGCTCCGATTGGATACGAGTGCTGTGTCAGCGTTCGGCTGGAGCTCGTGTCCAATGAGCGAGAAAACGAATCCCAGCCGAATTCGACGCAGCACTCCTGTGCATTTTGTGCCCCGCTTGTGGTATCAGGTGGGACGTAGAAAATAAAATGCGACGGCCTGGTAACCTTGTCATCCACCTCCTTCCCTTTCATGTATCTTATTTTTATGCCGCTCTTACGCATAAACCAAAATTATTTTCTTGTTTTTTTTGTGTTTTTTTACGGCGGAGTTGTTAAGGGCTAGTTTCCCTATGATCGTATCCGCCAGCAAAATCATGTCGACACAATACTCTGGACAGGTACCGCCATCTATGAGCGACGGCGGTAGCTGTCCAGAATGTTGTGTTTTATACATGGTTAAAGTCAAGGAACAAAGTGAGGAAACTGTAGAATAATGAAGGAGACTCCTGTATTCTCCTACAGTTTCCTCACCCACTCCACCTAACCCTGCTCACAACCCTTCTGAAGTGTTGTGTTTGCCGGTTGGCTGGTTGGCGCCGTCATTCATAGATGGTTCCCATTTTGAGCGGTGAATTTTTAGCCAATCATGACAGAGTTCTCTCGGAACGCCTGAATGACTTTCATGGTAGCAAGGTTTTTAAATTTGTCGATGATTATTTAGTTTTTCCTAACCATGATGTTTGTCACTTCCCCTCGGCGGTGAACAGCCTTTTAACAATTTTTAGCAGCGTCCTAGATCCTCTCAAGCTTACGCACGAGGTATATACCTGTGGACAACGTCATACAGTTTTTAGATATCAGGCTCACACTTGCGGAGCAACATCTGTGTTGGAAATACCAACCGAGAGCCTTGTTGCCGTTCAATTCATCCCATTTGAAACTCGTTAAGAGAGGAATTGTAAATTTGTGCTTTGTGAACGCCATCAGCAGGTCGTGTCATCATGCGATGTCTTCAAGTCTGAAGGAGAAGTCAGAACGCTTGGTGGCTACCGGTTTTCCGGGGACGCTCCTGGTGTCGGTTGCAGAAAGGGTTTTAAAAAAGCTACGAGTAGCAACGAGTTCAGATCAAGATATGGTCCAAAAGAAACAAAGAGTGGCGGTAGTGTCTTGCATTCACAAAACCGCACACAGTCTCAAAAAGATAGAAAACCGCGTAAATGCTCGGGTGTTTTTTTCTGCACCGGAAAAACTTACCAAGTTGTGCAAACTGATGGACCCTTACCGCAAACCACAGGCTGGTTGCGTGAAAAAGCATCGCTGCCCGCTTGTAGAATGCGCAGAAGGAGTTGTCTATCAGATCCCGCTGACTTGCGGCAAAAAGTGAGCGGTACAGACGGGAAGATGTCTAAATGATAGATTGGCGCGAACATAACCAAAAAAGTGAGCGGACAGCGTGACGGTCATTTGTCAATGCACTGCCATGACTGTGGGTGCAAACCTGAATTTAGTTTGTGCACTGTTATTAGAAAACATAGAGATAAGACTGTAAGGAAAATTATAGTTGCGGACCTGATAAAAAAAAAAACTTCGGGGATCGATGTGTCAGCGTGGCGTCGATCGATTTGGACGACAAAGAGACACAGCTCTTGCGAGCATTGGCGTGGCATGGGATTTGTTGATTGGCGCGATGATGCGGAGTATTCATACCCTTGATTTTCTAACGATTAAACCGGCTGAATTTAGCGCATTGTGTTGTCTCGTTCCTACTCTCGTCCCTGTCTTGAAGCGCTATCACGTTCTCAAAGTCGCTCATACATTGCGGCAACCTTTCAGGCCTTTCCACTCTGGCTTCCCGACTTGCGGCCGGCCATTACTTCCCACCATAGTACAGCTTCGCTGGTCTGCCTTCTTCACCAGAGTGGAAAGGCTGAAAGTTTGTTGTAGTTAAGTTATTGCTTTTATGGTTTCGGTTCTGTTGGGACAGTGCAAGCCGTATTGGAGTGGCGGATCCTGTCAGAATCGACCCCAGTCTGTTACATTGGTGTAAACAAAGTACCCCCCCCCCCCTTTCCTGCCCAAAACAAAAAAACAAAAAACTATATAGTAGCCTCGAAATACACTTGAACCTTTCACTTCGGTAAGTAATAGAACACAAAAGAGGACTTCTTGTCACCTTGGCATCTCCCAAAGACGCTCTACGTGCATAGCATTTATAGGTCCTCTGTGAAGTCATAGTGTCACTTGACGTCACGGTGTCAGTGACGTGACGTGACGCTGGGTGACGCCGCGTGACACTCTGACATGTCACAGTGTCACGTGACGATCGCCACACTGATGAATTACGGCAACACCATCCACTAAAGAAGATCGCTTCCCTTTTACTAGGGTCACCTCCTCTCCATTGAGGCTTCATGCCACGTACGGACACGAAAGCCCTAAGAGCTGACCGTGTAAAAGCTACGTATTCAAAACTACAGACTCGCTCACAGTGCAGTCCCAGCGCGTGTGAAACAGCGGCATAGCCGTCCTTTCCGCTAAACTGCATTCAGGGCCTCATTTAGTTTCTGGACAGCTCAACCCTACGGTTTGCTCCTCTTCTCCTTACCTGACGTTTTCCCTTTCTCTCAATGTCCGAACAGGCGCCAGGGCGGCCCGTTCAGCCCGAGCGTTCCGCTGACGCCTGGCGGCTCAGTGGACCCAAACCGCGCGGCCTTCGCCAGCGCCAATCGCGGGTCCCCGTCCTCGCCCAACTGGTCGCAGTCCTGGCCCCCGCCACCCCCCGAAGAATCCCCGCAACCGATGTTCTACAGCACGGGGGGTCTGTTCCCGGCGCAGGGACCGTGCACCCCGCCGCCCCCGCCACCGCCGTCCATGGTATCCCCCAACGTCCACCACAACGCCTTCCCGATACCCCCGCCACCCCAGCCGGGGGGAAGGGTGTCCCCACGCAGCGCCGGTCCCAACAACGCTCCTCCCCAATTCCCTATTCCACCGCCACCTCAGCAACGCGGTGGCGCGTCACCGACGGGTGGCTACAGCCCTAACACCGCGCAGTACCCGATTCCGCGGCCTCCGATGCCGCAAGGTGGCAAGATGTCACCAGGGGGAGGCTACAACCCCAATGCGGCTCCCTTTCCGGTTCCTCCGCCACCGCCGCCCGCGGCGCAGATCGTGACGTCATCGGGCGTCAACCAGCACATGGCACCTCAGTTCCAGCTGCCGCCGCCACCGCCATCTATGCTGCAGGGAGGGATGAGCTCACCCGAGGTGGTGGCGCCGCCGCCGCCACCTCCTCCTCCTCCAGCAGTAGCACCTCCTATGGGAGGCCCTGGAGGAGCACCACCTCCGCCACCGCCTCCGCCACCCCCGCCACCTGGGGCTGGTGGACCGACTTGGAGAGAGAAGCAGGTGACGTATCGCTCATTTCCAGAAGTTTGGCGTACTTTTGCCAATGAGCGATGCTATATGCACTACGTAGTGCACTTTAGACGGAAATTGCTATATGCACTACGCGGAGAGCTCATGCCGCTCGGGCCACCCTCTTTCGAAGTGCGCGTGTATCACTGGGGAGCTCGTTAACACAGCCCCCCGCCTGCGTTCACGACGCTTCGCGGCGACAGTATGCGGCTGCTAATTAGAAAAGTTAACCAGTACACGCCGCTTCGCGGCGTCCAGCCGGCAACCCAAGCCCCGCTGACCCCGATCTGCGAAGTCTGCGAAGTTTCATCCACAACATACGGTAATTTTTTTTTTTTTTTTAAGTGTTCAACGCAAAAAAGAAATATAAAAACCGCCAAATGCCTCGACCAAACCACGTTAAAAAAAAAAAAAAAACGTAGACCTACTGCGATTCGAACCCGCGTCCACTTGTGTACGAAGCGTACGCCTTAACCTCAAAGCTATGCCGGAGCTTAGGCAGCTCGTTGTGACTATTCGTTTTATACGAGACAAACGTAGTGCATATAGCAATTTCCGGACGAGCTGCACTCCCGAGTGCATATAGCATCACTCTTTGCCAATATGGCGACGTCATTGTCAAAGATACCTACGTAAAGAACGTGGCACAGTTGGCGCGATGTCAACCAGACTTCATTGTTCCGCGAAAAGGATTCCATATGATAGCGACACTTGCGCTTCCAGTTTTGCTAACAAAGAGCCACTAGTCGACCGAGTCTGTTTACTCCTCCCTTACTTTGCAAGAAAGAGAAAGCAATAACACACATTTCTTGATAAAAAAACAAACAAAAGAGTTAGATGGGCAGACGAGCTGGTGATAATAAATCATAATGTCACATCCGAGACTCTGGTGCCGAAAAATTGAGGAACTCTCAAGTCGAAGGAAAAGAACAACTGTTGTCTGCGCCTTCGACTTGAAAGTTCCTTATCTTTTTCCACAACACGGTCTCAGGTGTTATACATTGTGGCAAATTTGTTCTTCTCAGTGTGCTTGTCTAGTTTCAACAAGAATAGAACGGCGACTGATTCATGTGCTCCCTTCTCAAATAAAGGAAGGCCTTAAAAAGTGCGGTACATAAAGAGTAATTGTTCAACGCTCCATTGGTTTATCGCAGATGGCAGCTCAGGGACCTCAGGACTTCAGCAACTTGCCGCCTCAGCTGCACGGAACACTCGGCAAGGACAAGAAGCCTTTCACCTACACTCCGGGTGGTAAGTGTACTCCTCTGTCTTCTGGTCTGACTGCTATGGAAGTTAAGGGAAATGTTACACTATAGGGACTAAGGGCATTGCGGAACAAATAAGAACTGATTTCCTTAATTGACGTACAAACGTCATTTTGTGGTTACCCCCATCATTCATAATAATAGCTTTCCGTACGAGTTCATGAAGCCTGACAAGAGGTCGAAGAAACCTTAAATTTCACATGAAAAAACTGTTGGAAAAAAATTTATAAAAAATAATATGTACCATAAATTTGTCAAATCTAAAGATAGCGAAGATCTGTAAAAGTTTAGGCATACAGAAACAAACTAAACACATTGATCAAAAAAGGAAAGAAGCTAAGCTTCAACTAAAGCTTCAATATTACACAACACTGTTTTATATAATATCCAGAAAAATAAGCCAGAGAAATTATGAAAAATATTTAACCGTGTCTTAAATAAAGCCTTAAGCCGGGGTCACACTACTCAATCATCATACAAAAGATAGTCTGCAAACACGAGTCACCGCAACATCCATGGTTCGAATGCCGCGTGCTAAATTTCCTCCTTGAACAAGTTGCCATGCGGCATTCGAAGCACGGATCTCGCGATGACTCGCGTTCGAATCTTTATGAAGATTATTATCTGTACGATGTATAAGCAGTACGCCTACGCCGTTACGATCAGAAAGCCAGGTTGTGGAGAAACATTGTGGAGAAAAATTACGTTGTCTGGTATGTCGCTTGCGAGTACTTTAAAGGGTAACTGCAAAGAAAAAAAAAGTGTTTTTTAAACAGCCTAATTGGGACAAGCATGTCACAAAACAAATCTTCCGCGAAAAAACAAATTTTTTTTTAGCAATATTTACGCCACCGGACGTAGTTTAGTCGGAGTCACAACTTCTTTACTTTTGAAACTTCCGCTCTTTTGACGCGCGCGGAGTGGCTGCTATACGTCACTCCGTGACGTATAATACCAACTTTGTGGCGCGCGATTTAAAACGGACGAAATAGCCGCAAACTAAAATCAGTCTCGCGCATTAAATATTGCTGTAAAAAAAATGAAAGCCGTTTACAACTCCCTGTAACGCCGAATTAGAGCGCAGCTCTTGAGGAGGAGGAGGGAAGGGTACTGAGGTTCACGTGTTATCGGGGGGGGGGGGGGGAGGGGTGGTCACGTGACCTTGGAGGGGTCATATGACCCCCTCGCCAAGGTCACGTGGGGGTCACGTGGCCTGGGGGTGTCACGTGACCACGGGGGTCACCTGACCTGAAGAGAAATTTTCCGCTAGATTTAGCGGGGAATTTTTTCCGCTAGATTTAGCGGGGAAATTTTTTCGCTAGATTTAGCGGGGAAATGTTTCCGCTAGATTTAGCGGGGAAATTTTTCCACTGGATTTAGCGGGCAAATTTTTCCGCTAGATTTAGCAGGGAAATTATTCCGCTAGATTTAGCGGGGAAATTTTTCCGCTAGGTATAGCGGGGAAATTATTCCGCTAGATTTAGCGGGGAAGTTTTTCCGCTAGATTTAGCGGGGAAATTTACCCATAATGCACCGCGCGGTTACGCCGACGGCGACGGCGACGGCGACGCCGACGCCGCTCAAGCCGGAAACGGGCGCTTAAGAGCTGCGCTCTAAAATTTTGTTGTCGGCGGAAAACTTGTTTTGTGACTTGCTTGTACCAATTAGGCTTTTTGAAAATATACTTGTTTTTCTTTGCAGTTACCCTTTAAATGTCTACTTGGTTAACCTAACCAACAGCACTTCGAGCTAACAAACAAAGACTACCCATGTGTCTACATTTATAAACATATTTAATCTTTTTTTTTTTTTTCTTTTTTCAAGATTAACTGATGAGAATAAAGCAATACCAGCGTTCCGAAGCATAAATAATAGTAAAGGAGAAGATGCAGATGACCTGAATATAAAACCAATCAAATTTGCTATTGACTTGCTGCTGCAGCGTTAACGTTCATATTCAAACTTTCGATGTTTTTATGTGAATTTCTTAAACTTATGCAAATTGCTATGTTTGTTTTGATATTTTAAGGTTGCGATATTAACCTCTTAGAAAACTATCGGCCAATATCAATACTATCTATTTTTTCTAAAGGTCTATGAAATCCTTCAAAGTAAACGGTCGGCATCTTTGGAGTGTTTCTCTTTATTAACGGACTGCCAGTACGGCTTCATAAAAGGAATATCTACTGAATCCGCTTCGCTGTCCCATAAAGAAGTAATCATTAATAATATCAAAAACAAAATGTTCACATTAGCCATATATCTAGATTTTTTTTAAGGAATTTGACGTAGTTAATCATAGTATTCTTGGAAAGAAAAAAAAAATAATACGATGTAACGGTACACGAGATCATGCACTCAATTTATTTGTGTGGATGTGAATTGAGGGAAGTTTCAGTCTTCAGAATTCTGGACAACTTCCTTGTTCTTAGCAAGACGGCTGCAGCGGCTAGCATTGAAACCAAAATAATACTAGATGTGTTTAAGCCTAAAGCTTGAAATATACGTATGAAGTGACAAAAAAGGGGCAGTTGCAGTTTTTAGACATCAGGCTAAGCCTTACGGAGGATCCCATATGCTGGACGTACGAGCCACGCTCCAAGAAGTGCATTCTCCAGCTCAGCACCGCCTAGTCTAAGGTTGTGAAGCAAGGGGTGGCCTGTATATGTCTTAAGGCGTCTCTGAAGAGGCCTTGTGAGCACAGTGTGGAAGAACGTTTCGAGAAACAGGCAGCGCGTTTGTAGAGGGCTGTTTTTCCTTTAATTGTTTGGATGGAGGTGGCGGAAAGCCTAGTCAAGAAGATTAAAAGGACACATAGGCAACCTCGTGAAAGAAGCTCAGTAAGGCCAGTTGCAATTTCGCGTACAGTATGCACTATATAACCCACGATCTTAGAAAGATGGCTGACCGGTACGACGCACCAGTGGCTTTTTCGGCACCCAACAACCTGTCGAGACTGTGCCGTATAATCAACTCCCTCGCAGATGCTGCAAACAAATTCAAAACCAAACACCGCAAAAAAAACAAAAAAAATCACAAAATGCACGACGGGAGTTATTTACGAAGTTCCATTGTCATGCGGCTTTGTATACATTGGTCAGACCAGGCCGATATTTTAACTTTCGCGCACGCGAACATGACGCGGCAACACGAGCAACCTCATCAGGAAATCTGGCCACGCAGTGCTGCCGCTGCCCTTGCTCCCGCAATGGGACGACACCATATTTTTGGCCAGATACCCAGATAAAGTATGTAGAGAGCTACACGAGGCATTTGAGATCAAAACCAGAGGCACGAGGAGTTCAAGTGACACATAAATAACCTTATCGGCAAAAGAATGCAAATTTCTCGATAGAGCGGTGCACCGGTTGTACTCACGACTCGCGTTTTTCACGGCTGTACAAGGAATTGGTTTTTCAATAAATGTTAGTTGCGAGTGCGCCAGTGTTTGCGTCAACTTCTTGTCCCTACTTTTTTTTTTCGGTGCTTGTCTACGATCATAGACAAGCACATAGTGCTTGTCTACGGTCATGAAGCAACTGGTCGATATTGTCCCATTAATGCATGTACCTACCCAAACCATATAGCAGAGCCGTATATGCAGAGGGTTTGGCCATTTGTTGAGAAGTATAGGAGACAAATGAGGAGGCGCCATTGGCCGAAAGCGGGCTGGGCGTGTTCCAGGGCGTCTTCAGAAATTTGAAATTCGAATGTGGCCAACCAGAAACCGGAAATAATACCCTGGTGGTGGTCGCGGGAAACAAACCTGATAAGTGCATCGGAGTAACTCTCGGTGACTTAAAATACGGTGCACGTGATGTTTCAATCACAGTCATCCAAAATCATGGTGGAAGAGTGCAACTAGCGGAACGATCGACATAATCCGTACGCCAAGCGCCGAGGGCCGGGAATCTGCCGTCCGAGCGGTCACACTCTGTGCGAGCAAAACAGAGTTGAGCGGCGCATTCGTTTCTTACACCTTTCTGCATTATCATGATCGATGCATCACCTGCAGCCTATTTTCAACCATAAAAGGTTACAACTTTTAACTCTTACGCCCTTATGAAAACGACCAAAATTGTTTCTCGCTACCACCGTTAGGGGATTCTTTTCGGCTTCTTGTTGACCAAGAGAGCATGCCAAGCTCACTTTCTGCGTCTGGTGCACGCCCTGGCTCTGCCCGCGCCTCCCATTGACAAAACGCTCTGTATACACGGCTCTGAACCATGGTATCGCATCCACCAGGTCAATTTTACCACCTTTAATAAACACATTGAATCATAAAAAATTCAGTCATAATTGTCCATTTAAGGACTCTATGTTGATATTATCCACCTTATAAGGTGTATTTTTTTAATAAAAAACGTGTTATGTTAACTAATGAAAGGCGAAAGACACTTCTGTGCATAGGATTAAGAAGGAAAGTTATTATTTCACTGGTGTTAGATAAGTGCTGACCGCGAACTGCCATCTCGGAGCTGGGGCCTTGTAGCAGCTTTTTGCCCCCGGCTACCGTCTTTCTTTGCGAAATAAAATACAATTTATTTATTGATACTGTGTGATCATATCCCCTTCCTCCCCCCCAGAAAAAAAAGAAAAAAAGGGGGGGGGTAAATTTAAAAGAAAAACGATAGTATGTGCATGACGAAATGAACATTTATGCTTATAAGTTATTACCCGTGACAATTAAGACTACGATAACATTAGAGTAAAGGTCATGTAAGCTTTTACATGGGCCTCACATTTATGTCAATTTAATATTAAGCTGAAAGACACTGTGCGAAACGGTGACAAAAGATTTTCGCTTATGATGTAATGCTTCAGTAATAATAAAAAATAAAAAGCTTTTTGCTAAAAATAAAGTCTGTTTCCTACACATAACCGGGTATTAACAAGAAAAAGGAAAACTCCTGTAAACTTGAGACTGGAATATGACGTTGTACTTCTTAGTTTGTTTGTTTTTTGCTTTTGTTGTTTTTGTAAAACATCGTTTGTTACTTTGAGGCTTCCATTACAATATTTTTTATGTTTAAACTTCCAGCTTCTAATAACGTGGTAATGAAGATCTGAAACGCGATATTTTTGAAAGCTTTGACATGTCAATAACGGTCGACAGATGGAAGATAGCAGCCTAAATCTACGCAGGAAAGAATAACCCGATTTAAATTCATATGTTACTGTCTCTTCTGTGACTTCAGCGTTCGACCCGACCTCCTTTCTCTCCAGCGGAAGCCGGATATACAATACTGCGGCTCGCGTATGCGCTGTAATCAAGCTGCTGATTGAGGAAAAAAAAAACACGAAAAGATCCATTGAATTGAGTTTTGTGCTGGGGGTGCGGGGAAAAGGACCGATATAGTTTTCATTTATCTCACGAACTCTCCACCGGCATATGCAATGAAAAGAGCGATCACGCAAATGGAAATAAAACACTGGTGTAACATTCCTGCTTGCTGTGAAAGTTAGTGACAGTCTTTTTTAATCTAAACAGGACGGACCAACCTCTAATTTAGCGGACTTCATTGAGAAATGTCAATAAGGATAAAACAAACTTATTTTAAAATCAATGTAACTATTATTCAAAAATACAGTAAGAGCGATTACTTCAGTACCAGCTTGTGCCGCTGTCGTCTATCTGGCAATTATGCTGAAATTATTATTTACTTATATCTTTTTACGTTTTGGTTTACTGATACCAAGAGAAGGCTTCTTCCTGGTTTCATAAAGAGTGTTACTGTTGTGTCTTGACTGAAAGAACTTTTGCGATAAAGTATGTTAACAGCTCCGGCCTCTTTTCTGTTCCTTTCAAAGGCACTCTTCACTATAGTCGGTGGTAGGTTAAGAATTCAGGAAAAACTCCATCCCATATCTTTCCACTTTAGCAGAGTGCACACTGTAGAGAAGATCGCATCCTCTCCAGCGTTCGCTCTGCGAAAGTGGAGAGAAGTGGGACGAGTTTCCCCTCAATTCTTAACCTGTCACCGAGTATAGTGTTTTATTTGCATGATTTTACAATGAAGTGAAGGGTCATTGGCATGCAGTATTTCTAAAATAAACGGGGCACCCGTTCTGAGCTGAATACATTTTGCACCTCTTCTCAACTCCCTGCCCTCTTTCTGCCCCCCCCCCCCCCCCCCCCCCCACCCTCCGCCCTCGAAAAAAAGATAAGAAAAGTGGCAATTGAAATGGAGGTTATCATTTTTAGTAATCACCTGCTCATGCACGAAAACCAATATATCTACGTTCAAATACGCAAAAAAACAAACAAAAAACAATTGAACGAGGCATACATGTACGTAAAATAAACAGGCCACCAACGCCCAAGGGAGAATTAAAAACCCACATCTGCTGACATGGCGATTGCTGAGGGGTCACTGCGCCTCCGGCGTGTCACCTCCCCTCAGACAACGATGTCGTCGGCATTCAAATGAGCGGCTCCCGTTGCGTTTCTGCTTCGCTTTCGCAGGCCTTGATCTGTCCGAGATCAAGTCGCCGAGGATCCAGAGGCGGATTGAGGCCCGTCAGCAGGCAGCGGCGGCTCAGGGCGAAGGCTGGGGGGACCCAGCCAGCCAGGGAGTCAGCCGACAGATGGAAGGGTACTGACAGCCTTCCTGCTTCTTGTCTTTGCTTTATTTTCAAAACTTTTTATGACTCGTGTATAGACGTTTGTTTAAGTACGGCCTTTGGGCACCACCATATTGCTGCTGACGTGTGTAGATCGTCTGATAGTCAGTCCTTGCTAAGGCTTGCCCACTATTTCCAGACTGGCGCGCAGACAAAGAATTTTCAATCCACGGAGGCCAGACTAGAATTCAAAGCGTGACTGCCTGCAAACTTCCGTAGACTCTTTTTGAAATTCACATGACATTTCTTTGAACTTCGGAATGACTGATTCTACATTGGAGCGTGGCCCTAAAGCCCCAGGATACTTCTTCTTTAGAAGTAATGAGAACCAATACGAATGACAAAGCACATTCCTCTGGAACAAAATGGCGTCATTCAGTTCAGTTTCCTGTTGTGCGTAGCCAATCGCTTCCTAAGACCTGCAACGTCACGCAGTCGGCGCTTCGAAGAATGTCGCAATGTCGCTACTTGTAGGAAGCACGAGGAGCTCCTCTTATCTAGGAACTTTAGCGTAGCCAATCCTAGTAGCCGACGAGCGAAAGCGCAACGTCACTGCGTCAGTCACTTTCTCTGTGAGTGTGTTATTGTATGGGGGTCTTCTTCTAATTCAATCAAATGCAGAAAGTGCTCCGTCGCGTTGGGCTTTTACTTTTGGTTGTGTGTATGCATGTGCGTCCGCCACTGTGCAGGGATTCCACAGCTTCCAGGAGAAAGCAGACTTTTCAAACTGGCATTGCTGTACATTTACAGCGGCTATCTACCAGGCAAAAAAATACCTCACCGGTCTGTGGGCGTACTGGTAGAAATCGAGAGAGAGAAGGAGGAACGCCGAACGCCAGACGCCGGCGTTCGAACCACTAATCATTCCAACCAGAGCTTGGTGTTCTGACGTCCCCGCGCTCTATCGCCTCCTCCTCTCCCTCAATTTCTACCCGAATATATGCACGGCGTCATGGTATTGCGCAGAAGACAGCTAGCACACATGCTGAGAACCCGTTCGACAGCCCAGCAGGCGAAAATGTCAGCGAGAGGAAGATGATTATTGGAATGGTCTATATGCGTATAGACCGTTCAAGCGCGGCATGCGACAACATGTTCGAATCATTGAGTATAACCGGTAGTGCCCTTGAGAATACAAACGGTGTGAAGTAAGGATAAAGTTTCTGAGGACACTGAAGGCTGCCATTTTGTAAACTCGGAAGAGTTTCCACGTGAAAACAGTGAAATCGCCAACGCAGATTGCACCCCCCGTTATCAACAATATAAAAGAGAACCGGATGAATACTGCTCATGAAATATCTGTAGACAACGACAACGTCTTCCACGCGGAATATAACCATCAATGCGACAGATTCGTTATATAAACTGCACTTTCTAAATTGCCCCCATCCACGGTAGAGACTCCGAATGTCGTTTTCGATGGATGCTGACATCCCACTATCTAAACATCCAAACAGCAAATTTGACTTTTGCATTGTCCTTAAGATTTTTACGGTAGGCATTACATGAGAAGGTGAGACAGCAAAATTAAATGCATAGGAGTAATCAATCACTGTAGTCACTTCGTCTGGCAGTGTCATGGGCAAAAAACAAAACAGGCGGCTATCGTCCGAGACCGTCTCACAATTCCTGTCACCATTTTTAGAGCGCAGCTCTTAGGCGCCCGTTTCCGGCTTGAGCGGCGTCGCCGTCGCCGTCGGCGTAACCGCACGGTGCATTATGGGCGAAGTTTCCCGAAGGAACCCGAGGTCCTCCTGAAGGACCTCGGGTTCCTTCGAGAGGACCTCGGGAGAACCTCGGGTTCCTTCGGGAAAACCTCGGGAGGACCTCGGATTCCTTCGGGAGGACCTCGGGTTCCTTCGGGAGGACCTCGGGAGGACCTCAGGTTCCTTCGGGAGGACCTCGGGAGGACCTCGGGTTTCTTCGGGAGGACGTCGGATACCTTCGGCAACCTCGGGGGGGGGGGGGGGGGAAGGTCACGTGACCCCCCCCCCCCCCCCGATGTCACAATGCCCCCTCCCCCCCAAGGACCTCGGGAGGATCTTGTGCTCCTTCGGGAAGACCTCGGGAGGATCTCGGGTTTCTTCGGAAGGACCTCGGGTTTCTTCGGGAGGACCTCGGGTACCTCGGCGACCTCGGGGAAGGGGGTCACGTGACCTCCCCTCGAGGTCACGTGACCCCTCCCCGAGGTGACGAGACCCCCCCCCCTCCCCCGAGGTCACGTGACCCCCCAGTACCCTTCCCTCCTCCTCCTCAAGAGCTGCTCTCTAATTCGGCGTTACAGGGAGTTGTAAACGGCTTTCACTTCTTTGGTTGTAGAGTAATCGCCTAAACAGTCTTAGGCATTAATTATCTAGCTTGCTGATACCGTTGATACAGTCAATATACTAGTACAAATACCTCGCCATTCCGGGAAGCCATAAAGTAGAATCGACATAAAAACTCCTGAAGTTTTCGATTCGCGAAACATCACATATACTGAAAAATACATTTCAAGCATTATTTTTATGATTTTCAGTGCTCTACTGAAATAAAAGGTAACGCGCAGACGAGTTGGGGGCACATGATTATTGAAAAGCGCAGAGAAATTGGACACAGAAAAAAAAAAAAACATGAAGCAGTGCAACAACAAAAAAAGAGGGGACAACACAACGAAGTGTTGTCCCCCTTTTTTTCTTGCGTTCATTGTTGTGTTCTCCCCCCTTTTCTGTGTCCCGTGTGTCGAGGTTTTCTTTTAGTAATCAGTTTAATACGATTATTTTCGGGCTTTCAATTATACGTCCGTAAGAGGCGTGACATTTCACGACATAAACTTTAACGGCGCGACTTCTGCCTAACTAGGCTCCCCCACACTCACACGAAAGGTCCTTCCAGCAAGACCCTCGACGACACACGGCTCGTGCTCCGTCAACATCGTTCTTATTCCTTTTTCCCGCGCAGCCTGAACCTGGACGGCTCCCCGCAGCAAGACCGCTACGCGGACCCCAACCGAACGCGCGGCCAGGGCGGCTTCCGGTCCCCGGAACCGACCGACGCCGGAAGAGACTTCGTCCAGTCCAAGTCCTTCCGGGTCCTGCAAAAGATCACGGATACGGACTCGCCCGACTACCAGCCACGTACGCAAGTCGACCTTGCTCTCTTACCATGACTTTTAGCGAGTCGTTTTCTTTCTGCGCTCCGATAACGATACCGGATATTGGGACGACCCCCATTGCGCGTGCCCTGAATTACTGGGTCCTTCGGGCACAATACGGTTCCAGGCTGTATACGCCTTGGTATCAGGAGACTGAGGACTCTCCCGAGTTCGCCTTGCACCACCAACCCAACTGCATGACGTCACGCGACTGTGATGGCGCTGCTGTCGGCGCCGCGCATGCGCGGACGATTTAATTCACACGAATCTGGTTTCAGCGCGCGCGCTGCCTACACTTGGTGTGGGCAAACGCGAGTTTGTTCGTAAACAGCGCATTGGCGTATGGCCACTGACAGTTTAGGAAATGTCGGGCATGGTGAGTCCCGTGCATCTCATTATCGCTCTGCAACCAATCAGATTGCAGCTGATAAGAACGCCGAGGAACCAATCACGAAGCAAGACGCGTGATCATAATCGTTCTTAAGCGACTATAAACGCAGTTTGAATTTGGCTACAAGCTTCGAGCATCAGATTTAATAACGTAGACACGAGCTTTTGTTTGCCTCATGTGCCCACGCAACATGTGGAGGCCCGCAGGCATCCAGACTGACGATATCGAACAAAGCGCGCAAGGCTAACCTTAAAGAACGATTCAAACACTTGCGTTAAGTCCGACCGAGAGCGAGGGTTGCTATGGCAACAGCGGCGTCGGATCCAACGAAACCTTACAGTACATTTGCTCGAACGATTGTGCTGGCGTGTTGCACCAGTATTTTTTGCCACAAGATACATCTTTAACCTCTATGAGATTATTTACACCTTTCGCCCCTACCCGTCTTTTTTTTTGTTGGAAAGTACGAGATGTCACCACCAGGAAGAGCTGGAAGAGCTACCACGCATATTAACAAAAGCGCCCTAGATACAATCTATTAAAAGTGCATACTTAATCGTTGCGATCTCATTCCCATGCCGTTTTGGGTACTATTATAGTCTGACAAAAACGAAACCGATCTGTTAAAAGTCTAATTTCACCCGTGACACTTTACAATGGGCCAGGGAAGAACGGCCCTTTATCGAGGAACATTTTTCTTACCTTTTTAATTTCTTCTCCGGAGCTATATATATTCTGCTTTGCCGCGTATTTGTTTGTTTGCGTCTCGCAGAACTAGGTGGTGGGTAATTTGTTTTGTGAACGGTCCAACCATCATTCATGCGCTCTCCTTGCGCAGCATGCGCACTACGAAACTCACAAAGGCTCAGCTGCTATACTGAATATCGGATGTTGAAGACCTCTGGAGAGCGCTCGTGTACTGAAGTGGCCAAATTTCTCTTCTTCGGCGGAGTCGAAGAAGAGACTCCGCCGAATAATATAATAAAGAGCCATATAATTATGCGCAGTCGCCACTGTACGTTTACACAAGAAATTATAAGCATTTGACTCTACTCTAAACCCTATTGACTTTGCTGTTAGCCACCTGCTGCGACGGCATTGATTTCCTTTGTTCTAGTTTTGAAGTGGTTAAGAATCTTCATATGTGGGACACGCTTGTTTTTTTTTATATTTTTACTCGGTTTTCTTTCCTCTGTGTGAAAATCAATGCCACAGCTATCACCATCTCCGCTCTTGGCGTCACTCTTCGTCATGGTTTTTTATGCACGCAAAAATATAAGCGTTAATAAAGCTCCCATTGACAAGCTCTAAACTAAACTCACACACAAGAACACATAGAAAAACAATTTTAAGAGGCAGCAAAGAAAGCGATTTCAGCCTTGTCGCTGCCTTGGCGTCTGTCACCCGCATTTTTTAGAATTAAGGTTTTGTGCTGAAAAGTCTGCCCGAGGAACTTTAAAGTGTTCTGACAAGAAACGAGCGTGTTTCTTCCTTTCTTTTCTTTTTCTCGAATGACGATAACACAAATAAAAAATAAAAAAAAACTATGAATAGCAAGGCGGGTAAAAAGGGGCTAAGCAGGAAGGAGGAAGGTCTTAACGATTATATTACCTCTAAGAGCTCTCGAAAAGCCGATTGGCCATTGTTTCCAACGGACAACAAACCCGCCTCACCGTCCACCGGACTCCCCGTAGATCGCTGTGCGCCGAAAACAACATTAGGTCCGCACTTTGGCCTCGACGGGTTTTTGTGGAGTGCCGTTTGTAAGGCGAAACGAATCGGCGATGTTTTTTTTACGCTATAGTAAAACCCATGCACACACAATCCGTCTCGCATCCGCCGAGTGTACTCCATTACCAAGGAGTGGTACGAACAACCAAAGTTCACCGAGGCTCTTAAGTGTTACACACAAAGTGATGTCTCGTTAATATGGGCACCTCAGTTCCCTCCCCCCCCCCCCCCTCCCCGCCCCCAATAAAAAAGAAAGCTTTTATAATGTGAGTAGATTATTATAGCGAGACAAGAAATGCATGCATTTACCCTGTTCGTCCCCAAAAGTGTGTATATCGTAAGGTATATATGCATTAAAGAGTTTCAGGGAACCGTTTTATAGCACATCCGATACGGTACGTGGGCCCTCCGGTACGAACTGCGCATGCGCGAATCTTCCGCTCCCTTACCGTAATGAAGACTCGCGCAGTTCGTAGTGGAGGGCCCATGGTACCGTATCGGATGGTCAAAAACGGTTCCCTAAAACTCTCCATTAACGGAATCCGTATTACCGAGACACGACTGTGAATCGACGGTAGCGCCACCTGTCGCGTCTGCTTGTAAACGAGCATTATCAAAGACATCTCGAAACATACGTCGGCACCAGACATGTACACGTTATCTCAAAAAAGTAACGAAATACCGTTTCTCGCTCAAAAAGTAACTAAATACGTTACTCGTTACTGATTCTCAAGAGCAACGCGAGTTTTTTTTTTTAAGTAACGAGTTACTTTTCACGGTACTTTGACGACTAAATACGCAACTGTTTTTGTTTCATGGTTTATTGTTTTCTCTGTAGTAGTAGTTGCGCTTAAGCAGTAGCTGTCTCTCGAAGTTTTCGTCAGTTATGTTTCCCCGCTTCCTTGAAAATACATCTCCGGCGACGCCGAAGGGTCGTTCTACCGACGCGCTCGAAGGAACGGCATGCAGTGTTCTTCAGCAAGAGCTGGTGGATCTGGGATTCCCCTCTCTCTTGTGTTCTCTCTGCGTCTAAAGTTCGAAGTTGACAATGGGTTCTGTGCCTTCCCGCGTTGGCAACCTCCAGGTTTACGCTTGATCTGCACTCGGTTTAGAAGGTTCAACCAGCGAACCTTATCGTGTTCCCTGGGTGAAGGACATTCCCAGCTGTAGAGCTCAGTACCGCAACGTTTATCGCTGAACAATTCAGTCGAACTGTTCGACTGACGTGTTCAGCGATATACGTTGCTTTACTGTCATACTGTTTAACTTGTTTGTCGGGATACCTTTATCATAATAGATGCATGCTCAGGTTAGAATTAAAACAAAACGGTTTAAACGTTGTTGTACACATTACTTCTCAAGAGTAACAAGATACCGTTACTCTTAAAAGTAACTACATACGCTACTCGTTCCTTTTTTTAGAAAAGTGACTAAATACGTCACTCGTTACCAAAAATAGTACCTATAGGTAGAAGTAACTGGTTACTTGTAAGTTGTAACGCGTTACGTACACGTCTGGTCGGCACACACCTCGGCGCGCAAGGGGACTTCTATCGCGTTGTTGTCGCCGAACGAGACTATTATTGTGCGAAGGCGTGCTTCGATACGAGCTCGTCGAAAAGCTTGGCGTTCGGAAAAGTGCGTTCACAGAAGTGGTTAATGACGGAACCCACGTACAAATCGACTACAAACACGCCGATTTTTTTTTTAATTGCGTAGTTTTACGGGTGTAGCAATCATTTCGGTGAGAAGCGAAATAGGTGTCGCGTCGCGAGCATCTAATCATCGTTTCTTGGACTATAGAAATGCCGCATTATAAAAAAAATAAATAAAAAAAAACGTTAAAGACTGATTTATGTAACCTGACACTGGAACCTTGTAAGCCGCGCCCTCAGTTTCTTAAACTGTCAGTTATCGTACTTTTTTGAATACATTCTATTTAGCTACACTCCGTTTCACTCCGTGCCCGACAGGAGCGTAAGCTATGATCCGATAGAGTCGATCACGCAGCCCATAAAGCGCACCGTCATGGCGCTCGTCGTTTTTGTGCATTTGCTATCGCCATGGCTAAAGCAACCACACACAGAAAAAAACGCGTAGAGTATAAATAGGGTTTATTTGATTTAAATCGGATTAATTTTATTCAAATCAGGTATGCTTTAAAGCCGTGACTCTTTTTCATGCCTGTATTTTTAAACGTGGCAGATTGATCGATCAACCACTGATAGCAGTGAAAAAAAAAAGTTACCGTAAATTTGAGGTACAGTTTAATAAATAACTTTTTATCGGTGTAAACCTTGCCATACAAAAAACAAATACGATTGTGTTATTCTTTTTTTTTTTTTTAGTTAGCTAGAAAGCTTTATTTGTATTTTTTTTTTCGCGTTCTGATTTGCTCGCAATAAGACACTGCTTTTCTAGTTTTCATTCTTTCGAGTTCTGACCAGTGCTCGCAAAAACAAACAAACAAATGAATGAATGAATAAATGAATGAATGAATCAATCAATCAAAAGGACGTTACGTAACTACAAACGAACTGGAAGGTAGAAAGAAAGCTAAATGCTCCGAATTTCTCGGAAGAGCACCGCTTTTTACTCATGTTCAGTCTGACATAAACCTTTCTGGCTTTATCTCAAAAATTTTAATTTTTACGTCGCTCCAAACTTGTTCTAAAGTACAAAGTTAAGAAACAACCTGGTGCAATAAAAAGAAATCTTCGGTTTTCCTGAAATTTAGAGTGATATTTCTACGCCATGCTATTGTGTTTATTCATAAATATGTTGCACTATTTTGTTTCTTTCAAAGTTACAGCGCTGCGAAGTGTACCTTCCACGTCGACCTTTTTGCCCAATGCCAGACG